TAATACTTACTCCCCGCTATGAAATAAATTACGTAACATTAGGTAAAGTGCAAAACGCTGAATCAGATACCCATTTTACTATAAGACGTAAAAATTACCTGAATTCTGTCGTAGTGCCACTTTGTCCTTCAGAGACCCCACAATGACCGAACTGGGCGCGAACCTTTGTCTCCGCGGTAAGAAACCGGAGTCTGAAGTCTGAGTTATGGTACGACCTGAAGAGGGTCAATCTTTATTATGCATAGCTGGGGACTTCCTACGCCGTACTTGTTACAAAGCACGTTCGAGACTCCAAAATTTAACCTCTGTGTCTCATGTGGGCCTCTTCATGAACATTATTTGTGTCAGTCCCCATTGTCGTACACTGGGTCTTTATATGCAGCAGAAATCCCTCTTACTTGAACTTCGACCGCATGTCATCATTGAAAGGTGTTGCTTTGATGACCTAGAGTGATCGCATTCTTGAATACTGAATATGAAGTAGGTTTGAAACTTGTAAGGTTGAAGAATGCGTCAAGATTTCAGGGAAAGGGAGTAACACAGATCTGATTCCCGAAAGTGTCAGTCGGAAACCAATGGTCTTTGCATAGTGTAGACTAGTTGTTCTTAAATATGGGTTACGATCCAAAACGGGGTGACGAATTTTATACCAAACGCAGTTAAGAACGACTGGATATACTGACGTCAGTTGAAAGGAAACATTTCTGTGTCGTCAGGACTTGGAATTATGGTAAAAATTGTCTACATGTTCTAACAAATGAAGTATTAATAACAAATAATATGTATCATAAGTTTTATGTCGGCTTTAATTCTGGGAATTATAATTCCATCTGAAGGCATTGCCTAAGAAACTCGGTGGTTCTAGAGCTTTCCTGAAAGTGGCATTGAAAAGGAATGACCTCAAGCCTTGATTTTGAATGAGGAACAGCCTTTCAGTCTGGACTACAACGCTTTATTTTTAAAATTTTTATATTATTATAATGAAACGTGGCATTGAAAAGGAATGACCTCAAGCCTTGATTTTGAATGAGGAACAGCCTTTCAGTCTGGACTACAACGCTTTATTTTTAAAAAATTTATATTATTATAATGAAACTTAAACTACTTCCAAATGCCATTAATGAGACTAAAATAATCTGTGATTCATTTCAGTTAACAAACCAGATCTATAAATAGACCTCTGGTCTGATATCTGTGTATACAAATTCGTATAAAAGTTATTTCATAATAATTCTGTCGCTTTGACCAGATTTACAACTTTAACCTGTAACTATATTAATCACAATAAAAAAGTTAATCTGGGGATTCCCCACCCGTAAATTTTGCGCGCAGAGAGGCGTACTTGTTTTAATGTATAAGTTCCAAATATACATCGAACCTTTCTTAAGTTGCAACATGCATACAGACGGACAGACGAACGCAAGGAGCGATTATAAAAGGTGCTCCGATTGGCTAACGCGCCTTGTAACAATATTATTTACGACTGTTTGTGTGTGTTATGGCATCAGTAATGAGGCTAGATGGAAGGACGTTTATTTAACAAGTGCTGTAACCATTATGCAGTTTTTAGATTTACTCCTAAAGCATATTAAGAAACGAAAGGCCAACCTTATTATTACTTTGTTCAAAAGAACTGGTTGAATCCAATGCACATATCTCCCATATTTTTAAGATCCTTTGTAATATTGTGTTTGAGCATATACCTGTTTCTCCCAAGTAGTTTTTCTCTTCATATTTCTGGAGTAAAATTTTGTACGCATTTCGTTGACTTGATGAATATAAAATTTGGTGAAGGGTCCAATCATGGAATTTTCTCATTCTTTCTATTACATAATGTCTCATAGG